CGGCGGAGCTGGAGGAGGAGCTCAAGGTGGCTCTGGGACCCCAAATTCCGGGATTTCGGGGCTCTGGGCTCATTTCGGGTCGTTTTGGGGCATTTCGGGTGGTTTTGGGGCATTTTGGGGTAATTTTGTGGCGGTTTTTGGGTTCATTTTGGGGTCATTTTGGGGAGATTTTGTGATGATTTTGGGGTGGTTTTGGGATGATTTTAAGATCGTTCCGGGGTGATTTTGTGATGATATTTGGGTTGGTTTTGGGGTGATTTTGTGATGATTTTGGGATAATTTTGGGTGGTTTTGGGTCATTTTGGGGTAATTTTGTGGTGGTTTTCGGGTTCATTTTGGAGTGATCTTGAGATGATTTTGGGGCGATTTTGGGATGATTTTGAGGTGGTTTTGTGATGATTTCAGGGTAATTTTGGGGTGGTTTCGTGGTGGTTTGGGGATAGTTTTGGGGTGATTTTGTGATGATTTGGTGATGATTTGGGGGTGGTTTTGGGATGATTTTAAGATCGTTTTGGGGTGATTTGGTGATGATTTGGGTGATGATTTGGGTGATGATTTCGGGGCGGTTTTGGGATGATTTTGAGGTGGTTTTGTGGTGATTTTGTGATGATTTTGGGGTAATTTTGGGGTGGTTTCGTGGTGGTTTGGGGATAGTTTTGGGGTGATTTTGTGATGATTTGGTGATGATTTCGGGGCAGTTTTGGGATGATTTTGTGATGGTTTTGTGATGGTTTTGGGGTGATTTTGTGATGATTTTGGGGTTGTTTTGTGATGATTTTGTGATGATTTTGGGGTGGTTTTGGGGTGATTTTGGGGTGATTTTGTGATGATTTCGGGGCGGTTTTGGGATGATTTTGAGGTGGTTTTGGGGTGGTTTTGGGGTGATTTTGGGGTGATTTTGGGGTGGTTTCGTGGTGGTTTGGGGATAGTTTTGGGGTGATTTTGTGATGATTTGGTGATGATTTCGGGGCGGTTTTGGGATGATTTTGTGATGGTTTTGGGATGGTTTTGGGGTGATTTTGTGATGATTTTGGGGTTGTTTTGTGATGATTTTGTGATGATTTTGGGGTGGTTTTGGGGTGATTTCGGGGCGGTTTTGGGATGATTTTGAGGTGGTTTTGGGATGGTTTTGGGGTGATTTTGGGGTGATTTTGGGGTGATTTCGGGCGCGCCCCTAGGCGCTGTCGGACCTGCGCGCCGATAACCAGCGGCTCAAGGATGAGAACGCGGCGCTGATCCGCGTCATCAGCAAACTCTCCAAGTGACCCCAAAACCCCCGAATCCGCCCCAAAAAACCCCAAATCCGCCCCAAAAAACCCCCAAACCTCCCCCAGCGGGGGCGTGGCCAAACCGAGAAGGGGGCGTGGCCAATGGAAATGGGCGGAGCCAATCGCGGCAGGGGCGTGGCCAATCACAGAAGGGGGCGTGGCCAAAGCGGAGTGGGCGGAGCCCCGCGTCAATTGCACTGAATGGGAACCCGCCAAAGGGGGCGTGGCCAAACGAAGGGGGCGTGGTCTGTGAGCGCCAGGCCCCGCCCCCGCCCATCCCCGCATGCCAATCACGTGCCGTTCGTC